AAAAATAATAAATTCTACTCCTCCTACTAATGTCTTAATTCCTCCAAGCTGCTCATACCAACTTCCAAACCAACTACTTAGGTTATACCCATTCCAGACCTGAGTAGGTACATGCTCAAATTTAACCATGTGGCTTGTAAGTTCAGCCACTGCCTGCCCTTCATCATCTATGTGCAGACAACAGTTACTTAGATTAAACTTTCCGCATACACCTCCTTCTACTGCTAGTAAGTAATCAAGGGCTAGCCTATTCTGGTATATGGCTGATCACATCTTGGTATTTTGCTTAGCTAGAAGATTAAGCACTTGAGCTGTCTCATTAGTAATAATCTCAACTACCGCCTGTAGTCTAATAATGCGGTTGAGCATATATAATCGGAGTTCTATATCCATAAGTACCATCTTCTGCCCAAGTAGTAGGTCCATAATAATTAATAATACGTTGAGGGGGCCACTCATTATCTTCCCAGCTACCTATATTCAAGGATGCTCTCTCCCTTTTATGATTTACATCGTAAACCTTAACTCCCAAGGTCTCTCCTGTTTCGATTGGCAAAGAAGAAGGATGGCTTTGGCATACCTAATACACATGCCCCTTCCCAATCTTGTGGTAACTCCGAATAAGTTTTCTTACCACAAATCCAGTATAAATTTGCTGGGGCTTTCCAACTAGATGTAGCCGATAAGTCAAACCATACCTCCTTTAAATGAGTGTAATTGGCAAACGGATTAGTAGGTTCCGAGACATTTGAAGCTGACCACCAAGTAGTATTTTTAGTATTAACATTATAGGCTTTTTGTCCCAAGCAAGTTAGCTCACCTACAGACGTGTTATACATTGTCCCTTTCCTGGCTATACAAACATGACCTATAATGGAGGTTTTTAACCACCATTCCAATTTACTTCTAGTACTTACTTGATGATCAGACTGGAAAGGTATCTGTTGTTCATATGTCTCAGAGCCAGGGTACCATATTTCCTTTGCCTCCCATGGCCACTGGTCTCCCATATTAGTACCTCCACACACATAGCAATTAGTTACATTAAGACTACCTGCAATACCCTCAGCCAAATCAATAAATAGGTTGTTAACATTATGGGGAATTTTATCCTCAATACTCATCTCCTCATAGAAGGAATGAGAAACCTGATGAGTTTGAGTTGCCACTGTCTCAGTTTCAAGACCTACATATATTATTGTTCCTGAATCTACTCCTGTGCCATATATTTGGAACCCAAACAGACCTCCAAACCTGTCAATAAAGTACTGCAGATTGGAAATGGTCATGTGAACGGGGTTACACACATAGTTTTACAGTATGGTGTGGTAGGCAACCTTTGGATAATCATATCTTGATCCACTGTTTTTCCCAGGTTGCCCAACCTACACATGACCAATAGGGGCAGAAGTTAGTCTCTATTTGGGCAATCAGGATCAGTAGATCTTTTACTGGGACATAAGTATTTATCATTAAACCCATAAGTTCGTTCCCATTTAAGATTACCACATACATTCCAAAGTCTTCCACTACCCGAAATCGCCTTACATGCATCAAATAGTAGAATACCCGTGGAATGTATGGTGCTTATCACAGTCCTATTTATTAATGTCCCCTGGGAGTTACTATTCCGAATTACCAACCAAATTGTACGGGGTTGGAAATGGGGATCAAAACATTTAGACTCTCCTGATATTGGCTTGCACACACTATAATCAATATCCAAATATCTACATTTAGATACAGATCCCTTACATTCATACTGTGAGTGCCAGATGAGAGTTTGGGATATTTGGTTACCTGTTTTAGTAGTCTTAATGCAACTATCGCAATTCGGTATGTCTGTACTCCTACCTTCCTGAAAAATCATAAAAATACTAAGACACAATAAAACACATTATTCCTGAAATCCTCATTTTTCTTAAACCGTGCGATGGCCTCTCAGCTTCCCGATTGTGAGGGCTGCAAGGATGTTGTTCTTCTGATCCTCACTTTCCTTCACAGAGATCCCTTCAAGATACTCTGGCTATGACACGTAGGCAGGTGGTCAGGCTTTATTATGGCCGTCAAAACACCTACTTGATGATCTTTGTAGACTTTTAACTAGAATGTCTCGATATCCCCTCGTCACTCCGACTAAGTTGCACGCTTCAACCGGGTCCTGCAAGGATTCTCAGGATCTGGAGTAGCTTGCCAAGAGTCTGCTGCTGGTTTAACCTTAGAATGATGAATCCAAGGAGTCACTTCCGCCACCTTTACAGCTGTTGGGGTAGATAAAAGAACAACATACAAAGGCTAACAGGATACACCCCGAGCTTTAACTCAATATGTATTGGTGGGATATTACGAGCAAGTCCTGGAGGATTATTTTCTTCCCATACTCCTGGAATGTCAAATAAGGATTCATCACTCTTAGGGTTAACACTTGTCACTATGGAATAGAAGCGTCATTCTTCTTCCCTTGGCACCGATATCACCATTATGCCTGGTAATCCCTTAAACTTCAGAGATGTTAATCCATTAGGTAAAAGGTTATCTGAGCTTAAAGCTTCGATAATAGATCTCGTCCTAAAAGTTGAATCGGACACTCTGGCATATATAGGAACTAATGCTTCACCACATGGCCTCCCAGAATACAAGTGCGACTCTTAAGAACCGGTCTAGCTGCACTTCTCCCAGTAGCTCCTATCACAGTTATAGTCTTCCCCGAAGGCGGAGCCACCATCTTAGTCACCACAGAATGTTCAGCACCTGTGTCGATCATGAAAGAACTTCTCTTTCCCCCTATTGCTACATCGACCATAGGCTCCGCTCGACCAAGTGGGATGGAGCCCAGTCGGTATCAATAGTCTTCCATGATAGTGTCAGCCAGACCCACAAAATCTCTATCCTCTCTTTCTCTAGGTCTCTGCGTGGGTGGATAGTATCTGTCTCCTTGAACACTTCCTCTACTATTCCCATCATTCCCTCTAAAACTTCCTCTTACTCTATAACTACCACTATAACCTCCTCATACCCTTCTCTCTCCTTGTCTATCACCTTCATACTGCTCTCTCTGTGGACACTCACTCTTCCAATGTCCCTCCTTTCTACAATACGCACATTAATTCCTACTTAAAGTCCCTTGCTCAGCCTATTCTCGTCTCCTCTATTCACTTCCCTGTCTTTCTACACTTAAGATAGCTACCGCTAGCATATCTGCCTTTTTCCTCATTTTACGTTCTTGCTCCCACTTTACCTCTGTCTCCCTATTACTATCACCTTGGGCCTGGCTGACAAATGCTGAGTCTATCATTCGGAAGTTTTCAGGATTGAAAGGAGTGTACAATCTATTTGACTCAAGCAGTGTCTAATATGGGACTTCGGCAAGGCTGCCCAATAATAGGTTCCAGTCTACGGGTAGTAAAATAGGTGCAAGGGGGTGAGCTAATTTTATTAGTCAGCATTTGGTGGATGAAAAAACGTTTTTGTTTAAAGTGTTAAACCAAAAACCTACCAGTAGGTGTCACCAGAGGGTAATTGTATCAAAATAATCTTTATGGGTCTAATAAGAAAACTCAACTTTTAATATATTTATACATAAAATAAAACCTTATAGCAATAAATATATTAAAATAGGGTAAGCAATCCTACATCTATCTGTTATAAACAATGTATTATCAATGTAACTCCCGAAGATGGCCAGTAGGTGGCTTAGAGTGCCTCCCTAAAGTCAAATGAAACAAATAGACTTTAATTAATTATGTCCTATTTTATTATTACTTATTTTAATCAATGTCCACCCTGCTAGCTAGGCTTGATTAAATCTTTAGTTCTAAGGTAAATTAAACATTTCAGTTTGTAGTTTAGTAAAAGGGGACATTTTGGACAAAGCTGGGAGGGGCCCATCCAGTAACTAAAAAAAGACCATATACCATCTGATACCAGTGATCATTGATTAGGGGGAGGGGTAGTACAGAAATACAAGAGTTTGAAACACAGGAACAGATAGGTATGTGGGTAGGCGGGGACAGTAGAGCAGGGGGAATGCAAATACTGACTATATACCAGTTTTGGGAGTAAGAAATGGGCGTGGCTACTCTGGCTCTGGAGGATGTTTGGGGGGTTGGTAATCAGATGCCAGGGGGGGAGGGGATGTCCAAAAAAACCCTTGTGGGTCTACCGCTCTAACGGTATCAATCTCACCTGTTAATTTCTGGACCTGGGTTCACTCATAGACGGAACAATCCGGGACTCACTGCGCAGAAGCCGATGATCTCCTGGACAAAAGGCCAGTGGCGCCGAGACGAAAGGAGGTCCACGCAGTAGAAGTCCAGGATTGTAGCGTAGAAGGTTTGGTAAAAGTTTACCGTCTCAAATCTCTGTGCCAGCTTCCGTGCGATGAGGTTCCCGGCCCAATTGCACCAGAAATGTTGCAGTGTAAGCATGCAGAAGCCAAACACAGAAATATTGGACACAGGTCTTCAGGAAGTAACAGGCCTTTATTCACATTACCGATCGGGTCTCAGATGAACTCCTGTTCCAACATTCTGAGAGACCAACACATAGTGTACATTCCTTATATAGCACTATAACTCCTCCCATTAATAGCTACACCCACATATACCTTTAACCAATCAATGAGCAGAATATAGACTTGTACATCTAGTCAAACCACATGGCTCATCCAAGACAAAGGAAATAAGTGCAATTTCAGTTCCTGCATTCCTGCACATGCTCAGTACACTGATGACAGTATCCTAGCTACATGTAGCTAACCAACTGACACAACATACACATATGCCACATGGAGATTTTGGCCTACTAAATTTTGACCATGCTGGAATCCCATCACACTACCTGGCTTCGATACTTCCTTTCCTCAAATATTTCCATCCATAATTCTTGGGGACTTCAACATTTCAATTGACCACAGTAACCTCAAAAGATCTTTTTTTTTTTTTTTTAATTCTTTATTTTAAAAGATGTTTGGGGTAAGGGTACAGAAAAGAAAACAGTGAGTTAGAGTTTGTTGTACAAGTTTGCAAAATGTTAATCTGCATTACATAGTAGGTTAGCTTTTCCAATGCGTATATCAGTTATTTGTCGGTAGTTTCAGCATACATACATAGCGTGTAAATATATACAACAATTTTGTCGCTATTTATTTTCCTTCCTTCATCTTGGGTGTGGGGAGAGGTACAGAAGTGAAAAGGGGTGGGGGTTGGGGTGCTATCTCGTTTGCGGTTTGTTACATACAATTTGGGGTGTGTTGTAGTTCCTTTTCCCTTGCCCCCTTTCTCTCCCCATTTGGGGGGGGGGTTGCAGTGAAACCTTCAGTCGGGGGGGGAGTGTTAGTCGCGTGGGTGATCAGGTATAAGCCCGCATGGGCTATTGTAGTTTTCTCTGTGTGGATTCTGTCCTCTTGTCATGTTGTTGTGGTTTTCTTGGTTCTGTTCAGTGATTTAAATTTTTAGGTCTGCGGGTTTGTCTCAAAACATCTTTTAATTGCTTTCTCCCTTTGGCTATCACATTGGGATAATTTTCCCGTTGCAAGCATGCAGCTGGCAATACCCTCGATATTATTTTTTCAGATGTATTCACGGTCTCTAATCTCTGTAGCACTCTATTTCAGATCACCACCTCTTACCATTAGTGCTTGAGAGCCCCTCCACCCACCCACCATTCTCAGCCTAACCCCCTTCAACTCAGGAGGAACCTAAATTCTCTTGAACTCCAGCGACTCTCAGCTGATGTCTGATGATCAGCTGAACAGATTGATACCTTCCCATCTTAATTTAGTCTCTAGATTTGTTCACTAAATCGCAAATTTTACCAAATTCCATCTGAATTATAAAATATATAGGCTGAAATAGCTAATCTGGAATAATTCTCAAACTCAGCTATAGAAAGAGCTTGTCTATTTTATCTTAAAATCTAGATCTTGTTTTAGTAACAATTTAGATTAATGGGCCCCATAAAAACATAATTAAATACGATTTACCTTAAATCCCAAAGAGCCATGGCACAGTCCCTAGAAGTATCTCTAGAAAATCAGCGGTAGTGGTTCTAGAGTTTATAGTGACCCTTTACTTTTCTAAAATGTGGCGTTTGGTGAATAAACCTGCATATCCCTATTTTTTTTTTTTAGGGATGTGCATGAGCAAAAAGTTCAGTTCGGCACTTCCAAAATTAGTGACTTTGGCAATACCCTAACCACCACAGCCACTTACACATCTAGGGTTCGGGGTAGGGTTAGATTCCTGTCATCATTCCCGTAAGTTTCTCTCCCTCTCATGTTTTGTCACTTTTCATAAATCCAAAGCACTTAGGCACTTCTGAAATTCTTCGGTTCGGCACTACCGAAATTCAGGCCTTCAGCAACACGGGACTTCGGCGGTTCAGCACTTTGGCAATTCCCTACCCCTAACCCTACTCACCACAACAACTTACATATCTAGGGTTAGGGTTAGATTCCTGTCATCATTCCCGTTATTTTCCCTCCCTCTCCTGTTTTGCCACTTTTCAGAAACCCAAAGCACTTCGGCACTGCCGAAATTTGGCAATTCGGTTTGGCACATCCGAAATTCAGACATTCTGAAGCATCCGAATGTCCGAATTGCAGAAATAAGGCCAAATTTACATTCGTAACGAAACAAATTGCACATGTCTAATTTTTTTTACAGATGTGCGGACCTTTATTGTCCTATAATGAAATTCTCGATTAAAAACAAGTTCTGTTTTAGTTGATAGCCTAATATTTTAAAAAGATTGCTAAGGAACACTCCAGACACTTCAGGCATTTCAGCTTGCTATTTGCTAAAGTGCTTTATGTATCTGGAGTTTGTCATATTTGTGCCAGTTTATAAATAGGACCAATTTCAATAGAAATCAGCGCAGACAGTAAGGGGGTTTTGTTCCTGTTCGCTCCACAGGCCTAATGGAAGCATCAGGCACTCACTTGTCAATGAGCTGTACTACAGGTCATTGAGAAGCATAGGAAATCTGCAATTGCTAGTGTGCACGTCTCTGATTGGTGAACTCCCTGGCACAGACTGACAATCTGTACTGGGAAAAGAGGAGAGCCTTGCAGAGACTGTGGTTTTCTTTCATATATCCCCAAAGAAACAAGCAGAAAAAATGTATCTTTCATTGGAGGGTATATCTACTAAATTCTCACAAAAAATAAAACTTTCAGAGGAATGTTTAAAAAAATTTGAAGTGGTGACAGTCATATTCAAACAAGTTTATAATGATAAACATACAAACATGCACATACAGTATATAACCAATAAAGTACTTACTTGGTATTAAAAAAAACAAAACTCAGTTTGACAGACAGACAAACTAATTCAAATGCGACACTACTTGTAAAATTTCAGTTTTAAATTATATATACACATCTACACAAAATAGTAATCATACTATACGTTTAAAGGAAAATAATCTCCTTTAAATAGTTTAATTCAGTTTTTACAGTTGTAAAAGTGCATGCTGTTTTTCAAAGGTTTTTTCCATAACATCTTTACGCCGATCCTGTTGTAACCAGTAAAGCATCTCTATTTTGTCTCTCTGTATTTTCTCAACATAAGGTCTACCCTATAAAAAGAAAGAGATACGTATCATTATAATCACTTTTTTTGATTATCCATTTGTTTTCATACTATTAATTTAACATCCCAAAAATACCTTCATCGGGGATAGTGAATTGATATGCGGTAGCAAAACATGTATGATGTACATACCAACTTTAGCTGGAACAGGAGGAGTGTCACTGACCCTACTTGCACCTCTGACTTGCCCCCCGTTTGGCCACTCCTCTTCTGTGTCCACCACAGTTAGCAAATATTAGGATATTATGCCGCAACTGGCAGTTTAATTTTAAAGGGACATTACAGTCACCAGAATCATTACAGCTGGAGGTCGTGGTTCTGGGGCATGTAGCTTGCAGCGTCATTAACTCAATGCATGACTATGAGGAGATACGGATTGGTACAGGGTTGCAATTTTGCATATGCACTAGCTTCCCAATGCTTTAAATAGTACTAACTGCAACCTTTACATAGTACCAACAGCAACCTGAACTACTGAGCAGATTTCAAAGTGTCTAGTTCACAAGTCCCCTTTCTTTGCCAGGATGGCAGTGGGACTACCCTGCCAAAAACTTGAAAATTGGCAACTATGATATGGTTTGGTAGGAGATATTAAAGGAGTACTACAGACACCAAAACAACTTTAGCTTAATGAAGCAGTCTCACTGCTCAATTCTCTTCCACTTAGGAGTTTATGCTCTTTGTTTATTGGGCCCTTGAGATTATTTCATTCAGTGAAGCTAAAAGGGATTTGTTTTCTCAAGTCTAATAACTGGTTTGGTGATTTTGGTAGTCTAAGCACATTAAATGACTTCAAATTTTGTAAATAAAATTATAGATCAGTTGGTCACTTAGTCACCCTTTAGATATGCTGAATAGCCCTGCCCTGAAATACATAGTGTGAGACTTGGCAAATCCTCTTAAGGTTATTCATGAAGTGAATCTCAAATTTAAGGTCATAATTGCCAAACTAGAAAAAAAACAGCTCTGTTTTCAAATTGGCTAATTTGGCCATCAATTTGAAATTCACCTGGAATTTACTTAGAATAACCCTGTCGGTAAACATGGGCTCTTGTATACGTAGCCTCCTTTTTACAACATGAATTACATGCACAGCCTTATTACACACAATGTTATTGTGGGACATGAAGCTGACGCATACAGGTTTGAAGATTAACTAGAAAATACTTACTTTAAAGGTGACGGTATCATTAAATGATTTCTTGATAACTTGCAAAAGTTCCAATATTTCATGTTCAATCTCTGTTAATTGGGTGTGAAGTTTTTTCCTTATTCTGGACTCTTTCATTCTGGCCATTGAAGTCCCATTGTATCCTAAAATAAAATAAAATACACAACATTAATTATTTGGCATCAATTAAAATAATTTCCCCTTAGCATCTTTAAAAATGGAAAAATCTGAATGCCAGTGAGGTAGCTCAGTGGGCTAATGAATCATCAGTAGAATCTGTTCAACCCTTGACTCAGCCCTACATCCTTCCGAGGTAGATAAAATGAGTACCATTAAATTGGGTAATAGTAACAACCCATGGATGTTGGGCTAAGGTAACATCCCCAGGACGTACTTGAAAACCAGAGTAATCTGTATGTACCTTTCCTGGTTAAATACTTTGTTGTTGTTGTTGTTATGTATAGCTGATCATTACATTCATTTCCATGATGATTGTTTTAGAAATCTGTCTGTCCAACTTTGGCACAAGGTTTAATAGGTGGACTAAATAGCAGGACACAAGAAAACCAAACCACAAAATTTAGGCTAAAAAACAACAACCTGATTCTAGAGCAAGGATAGTAGGGGTTTAAAATAGCTCTGTATCCCCCAACCAAAAAAAAATAAATAGAAAAATGAACAGGTCATAGAGATAAAACCCACCTTTCAATGTACCCCATTGCCACCTCACTGCCATCAGCTAAGTCACCATCAGGGATCTTTGTAATATGTGCAAAAACCACCAGAAAATAACAGACGCGTTCAAGCATTAAATTCACATAACCCGTGGTAAAGCAGTGAAGTATATGAAATAGGCATATTTTTTAAGGTTGGGCCTAATAGGACACATTTTGGAAGAACTTGGTAAATCCAACTTAATAGGCATATTTAATAATTACTGAATTACACAAACACCTTTAGAAGATCTGTTTAGTACTGTTCCCATTGACTACAACTGAGTTATCCACTGGTCTCAGTAGATACTCGGTGACTCCAAGCTGCTACTCAATTTAACTCAACTTTATAGCTCTCTGTAAAGGTCCAGGCTACCGAGAGATGCTGCCATGCACAAACGTCACATCTTGAGAAGCTGCTGCAGAATTTACTAAGAACATTAATTTGCAAACTTTTAAATTTTCATTCAATATTTCATTACTATTTAGATACAGAGATTACTACAGTACCAGATTACTGAATTACAAAATTGGACAAAATATTAAAATTCATATTCATATAAATACAAATTTTTTTACTGGCTGTAAAAAAAAATAAAAAAATAAAATACAATGTTATATATGTTTTTAACCCCTTAGTGACCACACCGTTTTTCAATTTTTTTACCGTTAAGGACCAGGGCTGTTTTGAAATTTTTGCAGTGTCTGCGTTTAGCTGTAATTTTCCTCTTACTCATTTACTGTACCCACACATCTTATATACAGTTTTTCTCACCATTAAATGTTTTTTCTAAAGATACCATTATTTTCATCAGATCATATAATTTACTGTAAACAAAATTATAAAATATGATAAAAGTTTTTTAAAAACACACTTTTTCTAACTTTGACTCAATAAGTTTCGCATCTACAACTGCCAAAAAACACCCATGCTAAATAGTTTCTAAATTTTGTTCTGAGTTTAGAAATACCCAAATGTTAACATTTTCTTAACTTTGTTTTTTTTTTTGTGTGCAAGTTGTAGGGCTATAAGTACAAGTAGGACATTGCTGTTTCAAAATATATATATTTTACATTTATCAATAGTGACATTGTAACACTGTAATCTGTCAAATCTCTAAATCACACCTCACATGAACATATTTTTTTTTAAAGTAGGCAACCCAGGTGTGGCGAAACCAACCTTGCCACTGGGCATTGGAGAAGCCTGTTTGCCCGCCTCCTGCCTGCTGACTATGGCCCCTGGGAGATTTGGCCCTTTTAATACAGTATTTGGGCATATTGTATTTTATTATGCTGCTGCTGGCCCTTTAAGAACCATCTGGGTACATACTGTGACTTTTGGGAACAATGCCCCTTTAAGACTATGGCCCTTGGAAGATATTACCTGTTAAAGACTATTTTAGCAGATTGGATTTTAAAAGACTTGCTGCCCCTTTTAAATTGTATTGGAGCAGTTCTGCAGCTTTAAATTGGCACTTCGGATGCAGCCGAAGTGCCGAAGTAGTGGAAGTGGCCGCCATTCGACAAACGAACACGTGGCGGCGGCCATCTTTAATTCAGCTGAAGTTTTACCTTCTCCAGACTTTAATGCATTCGACAGTTCGAACGCCATTCGACAGTTCGAACGCCATTCGACAGTTCATTCGAGAGTTCGACAATTCGAATGGTTGTCGTTCATCTGTTTGAACTGACTTTAACATGGGAAATAGACCGACCGCACAGCCTGATTCTCTGGAACTGTTTTGGGTATGAAAATGTGCTTGCGGTCGGTCAAACTTGACTTATATCTATCTCCCGAACGGCTGAACGGATTCAAATGATTTTTGGGTATGTTTATATTTGAAATGTGCTGATTAATAATTTAATTTAATGTAATTTATGAAGATTGGATGTATATTTTTAAAGTTATAGTACATATATAAAAACTGTATTTTTCCTGCTTGTGATAATTATGTTAACCATTGTGTACCATAATAATATCACAGGCAGAGGGGAGGATTTTGTGTATAATTGCTGGGAGTTTTTTCTGTAATGTACGTGTGTTATTGGTTGTTCTGTAAAACCCTGTGGGCAGTACTAAATTTGTGGATTGGGAATAAAAAAGGCTGTATGTGCCAGTACAGTCAGTTCTACTTCACACTCAATTTGGAGTGCCGTCTCTTATTGGGGGAATCTGCTACAAGGGATTGCTATGCTCTGCATACTCCCTTGCTATATTCACTGCTAAGCTCTTGTAAGAGCTTGTTCCTGCCTTGCTCTCTGGAGGAGTCTACAGTGGTTATGGTGTCGGCTGGAGTGCTTGGAGCCCTCAGGAAGCGCTAGGAGCATCCATCAACAGAGGTACCCAGTCGGGGTGCCAGGTGATCCGTTACACCAGGGTATTTAATATGGGGTATGTCCAGTCTTTTTTAGTAGCCACTTAGTCACAAACACTGGCTAAAGTGAGCATTTAAAAATGCAAAAAACAATTATGAACGCTAACTTTGGCCAGTGTTTGTGCTGAAGTGGCTACTAAAAAAGACTGAACATACCTCAATTGCAATACCTTGGGTTGACTTCTTTTGCAAATGGTATGCCATTATGTAGGTAATTCTCATTCCTGGGCTACCATATGTTCTCATTCCTGGGCTACCATACGCTCTGCAGGCAGATGCATGGACGGCTATTGCGGCCATGTGACCGCTCTTTAAAAGCAATCACATGACCCAGGGGGCCTAATTTGCCATGGT